GTCTTCGCCGGCAAGGAGGTGCGCGGGACACGGCGCCCTCGGCAGGGCAGCGGAGGGGGCGGGTCCCGAAAGTATTTCAGATCAATTAAAATTCAGACATGCCATGTACACTATGCGATCAAACGTATATAGACAGGTTCAAAATGATGTTATGGTTTGGTCGTCCTTTTCATGGAGGGAGCTTGTACTCCTTGTTGTTTTGCACAATCACGGCACTACGTTGATGTTTTAAACACCTTCTTGCTTCCCACTGTTGAAGAGCAATTCGAGGATGGCGATTGAATTTTTCAACACGATCGATCACCTGTTCATACTGGACGGTGTGAGTCGGAATGGTAATTCGACAATATAACGGACTGGACTGGACGTAATGGACTGGCCTGCACAAATATCTGACTTGAATTCTATCGAACACCTTTGGGATGTTTCGGAACGCTCACTTCGTGCCAGGCCTCACCGACCTACATCGATACCTCTCCTCAGACCATCACTTCGTGAAGAATAGGCTGCCATTCCCCAAGAAACCTTCCAGAACCTGATTGAAAGTATGCTTGCGAGAGTGTGAGCTGTCATCAAGGCTAAGGGTGGATCAACACCCTTTTGAAAATTTTCAGCATTAGCGATGGAGGGCGCCAAGAACTGGTTAGTCATTTTCATGCGTGTCCGCATACTTTTGATCACATAGTGTATTTGTTTTTAATCGTTTTTCATGTTCATTTCAAATAATAAAATATGGAAAACAGTTTCCATATGGTGGCTCGATCACTATGCAGTAAAGAAATTGAATATGTATTCTTAATTGTTGCCCAACTATATCTTCGAACGTTTGTGGACGTCCACACTCCAGCTGGAACACTACTCTTTCAGAAGAGCCACCTGAACTTACTAAGATCCCTTGGCTACCGAACCATCACGCCGTTATGGTTCGTGTGCCCATGTCCGTCTTTAATTACTTTCGGTACTGAGGTAGCTCGTCCGTAGGTGAATAAACCGGTACGCAGCTAGACTGCACACTGACGACGCTGTCCGCGGTAAATGGGAGTCCATAGCGTTACACTATATAAACCATTCTAATTTCTTGTAGAAGGATTTGGAACTAGGAAAAAGTCGGGTTCGGAGGTTATTATATTTGTGTATTATAATTGTGTGTTAAATTTGACAGGGAGCTTGACAATCAGAGAACCCTTGCTCTATCTGATACTGACAGTCATTACGGACTCACAGCCTCCAATGATGCAAGTGGAAAGTTATAACTTTCTACTGGCCATCTGCAGACAATAAGCAATCAGGACTATCCATCTCACGAGAATATCCATTTACCAGTAGTGAAACCAATTAGCACTAAGTACTCGCATGATGCCACATCAAGGGTGTAGCGTTGCAAATTCTCACTTTATAAGCTTTTACGTTCTCTTGATCCTAAGTGGGGGGATGATTTTTAAAATCAGGATATTGAAAAATGCCCTAATCATAAAGCAATTAAGAATATTTTTGAAATTCATATTTCTAGAAGTATTATTTGTTCCTTACACTGATGCGCCCTTTTATAGTAGTGTTTCATTTAGCACAAGTTTGCTTACAGAAATTGTCATATTAGTAAACATTTGTATAAACATGTCATTTTAGGTCCATGAGAACAGGGTGCAATTTATTCCATTATTGAATATCCTTTAATATTTATAGCTGTTTATCTGGTTTTTATTACTTGGCAACCCAAAAAGCATTCCGATGACACTCATAACACAGAAAGCCAGAGCGCCCTTCGTGAAATTTCTCTGCGTTGGGGATGAATGGTATCGGTCAGCCAAGCAGCTACGTCAATATTAAGGTCTGTTGGTGCTGTTTCGAAGATATGTGCAGATCACGAGGGGATACACGAACTTTTGCACTCGAAAATTGAGATGTTCTAGAAATGGATCCTACGAGCAGCCAATTAGCATCCAGAACTCCCATAATAGGGTAGAAAAGCAAAGATAAAGCATTGTAAATTCACAGTTTACGACTACTTTGTGGCTGTACATAGATGTGGGTTATTTTGAGAGAGAATATTCGTTCGATAAAACCTGCAGTGGAGATGGCAGTCATTGAACACCTGTATTTTTCCCTTCTTGTCCAAGCAGGTGATAGTCGCCGGCGGGCCGGTGAATTCCCCGGCGTTGCTCCTGAGATCTGGAGTGGGTCCACGCAGCCACCTCGAGGAGCTAGGAATCCCCGTCGTCAAAGATCTGCCCGTTGGGTATAACCTCCAGGTAGATTCATCCAATATTAAGTCCATTCCAAACAGCATGGAATAGTCTAGTGAAATATTTAACTTACATGATTTATTCCACTCGCTTTTTATCACACTTTCACGTCCACGTTTTAATCGTCGCATGTTAATCTCAACCAATTTATGTCGATACTAGCGTAACCCGTAGACCTTCTGCCCTTTATCTTCCTCTTTTTCCTTGCGTCACTGACTCTTTCTCTCTTCGACTGTCTTGTCTCATCGTCTCCCCTTCTCTTCGTCCCTCTCTCTCTCCCTCGTCCTCCCTCGCTCTTCCTCTCTCTCACTCGCTTTCTCTTCCTCTACCTGTCTCCCTCTCTCCCTGACCCCCCTCACACACATTTAGTTGCCGGTTTCTGACCCTTGGTCTCGTTAATTTTTAACGCTTCGTTTGAGTCATAAAATTATATAGAGTCAAAAATCTTGCCGTGTTTTGCGGGATGTAAAGATATAAGGATATTGCTGTAAAACAAAAACTAACTTTATCCATAGGTAGCGTCTGTAATGTGTTTAAATGTCATGCTCATAGAATAAGTATTTTTAAAGTAAAATCTGTTCTAACAGACGGATTGACAAGGCAGGTAAGTTATATAAAGACATGTTTGCATGGGCGCGAGGTGTTGACAGGACGGCTATGGCAGACCGAATTAGGGCGTGTGGAGCATAGGAAGGAAGCATTATAAGTGGGAGGTGCAGTTAGAGCCGCAGATATGCATCAAGCAGCCAAGCGGCATGAAGCAGTACGATTGAAAAATAGCTTGGAAAACTGGGACATATAAACAAATTTACAGCAGCAAGAATGAACGCCAAAAAATGTATATGTGTGGGATGGGAAAGTAGAAATGTTCTAATTATTCAATATCTAGAAAGTAGATAAACACAATAACTTTTTCGTGTCGTACAGTAGAGAAAAGAATTTCGTCTATTCTTCAGAAAACGATGTAAATGTCATTATGGTTTTAAGTAAAGAACCTGCTAAACTTAAAAATATCTTAATGATATCCAAACCGGTGCAACATCATTTTACTTGTGATTTATTTACCAAGTTACAGTTTAAGTGTTTCTAGTCTAACAGAGTTATGCGTAGAATATTCCACAGACGGACATCACATTTTCGGGTACAAAATCGTGTATCTCTTCTCCCCGTAAACCAACCTTAATAATTTTTGGAAAAGAGCTAATATACCTTAGTCTAGACAAGTGTGCTGAACACAGATTTTACACAAAAAATTAAGATCCTATTTCTATACTGCAGTATAGGGAGGAAAAGTAAACATACCCTAAGGTATAAAAGAATTAAAAACTTGCAGCTACTGCCAACCAGCCACGGTCGCTTCTACTGCTCTTTTTAAAAACACAAATGATATTGGTAATGATTATCTGATTCTCTAAAAAATATCTGCCATTATTGTAAACATTTATTAATTATCCTAATTTTGTTAGCTGTGACTTTGAAGTAAATCATTACAAAAAAGCGAGTGAACAAATAATTTCCTTTTCCTTTCGGTGTGAACTTCGGTGGGAACTTTTCGTTGCAAAGTGTTTCCACCTTCATTTGCACAGGATCACGTTGGGCTGCCTTGGCTGCTGGTCTCCATGAACACG